CCCCGCCCGCTCTCCCCGGCCCCCAAAAAGCCCCTCGAGCCCCGCTCGGGCAAGAGGGAGCGGAGCCGGCATCCATGGCGCGAAGGCAAAAGAAACAGCCGGTGATGGGGGACCCCCCCGGGGCCAGTCCCCAGCCAGCTCCGGGATGGCCACGGGGACCCCCAGGACCTTCCCCTGAGCTTCAGCCTCATCTCTTCAGATGCCGCCCAGCATCCAACCCGGGGGGCAACGCTCCTGTGGCCTCCCCGGAGGCTGCCAGCCCAGGGAGCTGCCCGCGGCCGCGCTCCTGCCCCGCCACAGCTGCCCGTTTCTCCGGGAGGAGACAAAGGTGCCATTTTGCAGGGTTGGCCGGGGCCCAGCCAGTCCCCAACCCCACTGCCCTCCCGTTCCCTGTCCCCGGCAGCCCTGGGGGTCCCCTGCAGCGCCGCATCCCCAGCACAGGGGCCGGGGGCTGTGCCAGCTTTGTGCTGGCTCCACGCCATGAAGCCACGGGGGATGCCGCTGCCTAAAAAGCGGGATGGGGCAGGGGAACGGGACCGGCATTGCTCTTCCCAAATCTACACTAGGACCTGCATCTTGGTGGGTAGAGAGCGGGGCTGGTGCCCCGGGGGGAGGGCTCCCAGCACCATCCATCCTGCCCCTGCATCCCCCTGCCCCGGGGGGTCACCTGAGAGTCGGAAACCTCGGAGGGCTTCTCGGTCAGGCTGCTGCTCTCAGCAGGGATCAGGTCGTTGTACTTGGTCACGTCCTCGTCCGAGTAGTGGAGACTGCCGGGGCTGGGCCGTGGTGGAGACCTCGGGGAGAAGGGGGTGCTCAGCATGGGTCCCCCCTCGAGGCCGTGCCACGTGGGGATGAGCCCAGCCAACCCCCAGGACCAGCCCTAAGCCAGGCTGAGCCCCCCCTGCAAGAAGCCTGCCCGTGGTCCATGGGCTCCCAGGGATTCCCAGCTTTTCAGGCTGCTCAGCACCCGGGCACATCGGGGCTGGTGCAGTGGCTGCAGCTCATGGCAGGGGGGACATTGGGCAGAACAGGGTCACCCCCCCCCAGGGTGCCAGCTCGCCCCAGCCCTGTGCCCATCCCACAGTGACTGCACGATGGAGGGATGGGCACAACATCCAAACCCCCCACCCCTGCCCGGGGAGGGGGCTGCAGTGGGGTGTCCCTACCGGGTGTAGATGCCGTTCTTCCTGCAGAAGGAATTCTTGACGGAGAGGCGCCGGTTGTTGAGCTCCAGCGCGGGGAAGCTGCCCTCATCCAGGCTCACCATCTCGCCGTGGCTCAGGGCGGTCGCCTTGGAGCCGTTCCCTGCGGGACAGGATGCTCAGCCTCCCCCAGACCCTCCCTGGGCAGCACAGCAAGGGCGGGGGGGGCCTGGACCCTGCACAGGGGGGCTGGGGAACGGCCCCGGGGAGGATCGTGCTGGTTCCAGCGTTAGAGAGACCAAAGCCTGGGGACGCCTGCGAGGTGCCAGCCCCAGGGCAGCAGCCGTGCATCAGACCCGTGCCCACCGCGCGACCCTGCACAGGGGGGCTGGGGAACGGCCCCGGGGAGGATCGTGCTGGTTCCAGCGTTAGAGAGACCAAAGCCTGGGGACGCCTGCGAGGTGCCAGCCCCAGGGCAGCAGCCGTGCATCAGCCCCGTGCCCAGCGGCGCTGGCCATGCCCAGCTTGCCCGCCTTGGCTCACACCCTGACCGGCCCCATTGCCTCTGGCTCCCAGCTCAGCGGCTCTGTTTGATTAACGAGAAGGTCTGGATTTTCCTCACAATTTGAGCCCTTGATACAGCTAAGAAAACAGAGCTGTGTTTGACTAATCCCGATGACCTCTGCCGAGCCCCCAGGCCACCCTGCCTCCGCAGCTGACGGCGGGACAAGTCGCTTATTTAATCTTTAGCTCCCAGCACTCTCCGGGAAGCCCCACAGCACCTTTATCGGATGTCACCGGGTCTCTGGAGGAGCCGTACCCCAAGGCAGGCTCCCACCACCCTGCTCAGACCCCAGAGGCAGGCAGGGAGCCCCTGGAGAGGCTCCTATGGGGCCAAGGCTCTGCACCCCCCGCTGCCACCCTGGCGGGCCCCATCACCACCCCCCGCAACCCCGGCACTGACCTGAATCCGACTTCTTGGCATACTTCTTGCTCTGCCCGCGGATGATGAGCACGAAGACAAGGAGGAGGATGAAGATGAGCCCTACCAGGGCGATGACCACCAGGAACCACCACTCCTCATAGAACGGGTTGGTTTTCTGGGCTGGGACACAGTAGGGAGGATCAGAGGGGGGTGGGCATGGGGGTGCAAATCAAGTGTGGATGGGGAGACCCCCAGGCAGGGCATGAGGTCGCCTTGGGGAACTTTGCAAGGCCTGGATCCACGTGAGGGAGCGGGTTAAAGGGGGATAACAGGAGGCTTTGCAAGGGGAGTGCTGGCAGACACTGCTGGCAGCGGGATTCGGGGCTCTGTAGGAGCTGGGCAGCATCAGGGAGATGGGTTCAGCATCAGCCATGGGAACGGAGCAATGCTGGGACTCTCCCTCCAGCACAGGGGGGACAGCTTCCCCTCCCAGGGACAGCAGCAGCCTGCCCCTGCTGGCTACCTGACACGGAGGGGGAAGGCGTGCTGGGGGTCCCGTAGCCGTAGTCGTTCACGGCGATGACGCGGAAGTCGTAGCTGACGCCCTGCTTGAGGATGTCCATGCTGAAGGTGTAGGAGGTGACCTCCTTGGGGATGTCTTTGATGAGGATGTCCCAAAGCCCCTCATCTAGAAGACAAGAAGGGGCCTGGGAGGAGGGGGGCCGGCTCTGCAGGACCCCCCAGGGCAAGAGGCTGATCTCCCTCTGTCCAGGAGCACGTGCCCTCCCCACCATCTGCCCAACTCTTGCAGCCCCAGCAGGCACTGACCTTGCTCGCCGCAGCGTCATTAAAAAGCCGTAGTGATGCACTCGGCTGATCGATCGCCTGCCCCGGCTGAGGGCAAGGCAGCTGCCTGGGGACCCGCTGCCACCCCAGCCCCACAGCATCCCCGCAGCCCCTGGGGCTCACGGGAGCCAGGGGCTTCCCTCCCAGGCATTGCCCCACCACGTGGGGCGCGGTACTGACCCCCATGAGCGATTGATGGGGTTGCAGCAGGGAGAAATCATTAACTTGGGGCTGGAGGAGAGAGCGTGGCCGTGCCTGCAGGCTCCCTGCCGCAGGGATGGGGAGTCCTGGCTGCCAGTCCTGCCTGCCCCATCTGCACAGGAGCAGGGCTCTCCCATTTTGGGGGAGCCTTGGTACCCCTTGAAGTCCCTTGCCCGTCTGGGGGAGCGTTGGTACCTCCATGACCATGAAGGCAGCAGCATCAATGGGTGCTGCTCCATGGCTCACCAGCCCCTTCCCATCAGCCCCAGTCAGAGCCCAGTTGGCAGTGTGGTCCTCATGGACCAGCACATGGCCAACACCCCAGGCACCCAGGTCCTGATCCCCAACCCAGCCTGCCAAGCGGCCTGGGGGAGGTCAGCACTCCCTGCCTCACTTTCCCTTTCTCCCAAACCCAAGGCACCACCAGTAACAAGGTGGGGATGGAAGCAGAGCAGAGCTGCAGTACCTGAAGGACGGGCTTCGATGACGTATCTGGTGATGGGCCCTTGGCCAGGGTCCCCACTTGACCAGTGGATGGTGATAGCCGAGCCATAGCGGGAGATGAAGGGCTCACCAGGGGGGCCAGGGGCACCTGGGGACCCAGAGCAGAGCTGGAGGCACGGGGGTACAAACTGGCACGTGGCCATGCCAGACCCAGTGGCACCGGGGGAACTGTCGCCACCGCATCTCCTCTCTCACCCCGTATGTCCCCCCCTACCTTCCCCAGGCCCCGTGGTGATGTTCGCCTCAACGTCTGGCCCGTAGGTGAAGGTTTTGGCCCGAATCCGGAACCGGTACGTCACGCCCTCGGCCAGGTCCTTCACCTTCATCCACAGTGGGCTGTTCCCCTTCACATCCACTGTCACGATCTTACTGACGCCTGTGGGGACGGAGGCTGAGCCGGGTCTTCCCCAGAGCCCTCCCAGCTCCTTCCAATGCCCCCAGCCTCCCCCCTGGTGCCCCCACCGTGCCCTCACCGTCCACAGGCATGCAGGGCTCGTAGACCCGCCTGGTGCCATCAAGGATGCCGTTGGGCAGGGGTGGTGGCTCCCAGGACACGTTCACCGACGTGGTGGTCAGCTCGCTGAACCGGATGGAGCCGGGGGCGCTGGGGGCTGCAGGGGAGCAGGGTGGCCAGGGCCAGCTCAGTGCTCCCAGGGGACACCCCTAGCACCAAGAGAGCCCCTCCACCCTAACAGGGCCAGGGCAGTCATCATCACCATCTCACACCACCCTGGTGCCACCCCTCTGCGCCCCCGTCCCCACTGCAGCAAAGACCCCGCCAGGCCACCGTGCCCAGCTGGAGGAACGAGTCTCCTTCTCCTTGTCTCTTCTCCTGAGACCTTCTTCCCTCTCAAGTCTCAGCCAAGACCTTCATCTCCATGTGCCCCCAACCCACGAACCCCCTGGGGTGAGCCCAGGGCTGGCCTCTGCTTGGGATTGCAGGAGCAGGATGGGCTGGGATGATGGGGTATCAGCCAGATGTCACGGAGCTGGACCCATGGAGACCCCTCCCCAGGGAACCTGGGGGCAGGAGGGTGCGGATGCCACCGTGCTGAGCCAAGGGCTGGGGGCAGCCGTGCCACGGGCCCCACCTGCCTGCTGCGTCCGCCCCTTGACGGGGGTGCTGCGGGGTCCGTCTCCCGCGGCGTTGAAGGCGGCGACGCTGACCCAGTACGAGGTGTACCCCGTCAGGTTCTTCAGCTTCACCCCCTTCTCGGGCAGGAAGAGGGTCTTCACCCGCGCGCTCTCGTTCTGGCGCTGCACCTCCCAGAAGTGGATCTGCCGGAGGAGGAGGGGGCACGGGTGATGCATGGATCCAGCCCATCTCACTCCTCCCAGGCCCTTTGCTGTGCCCCAAACACCCCACGCAGCCCTGCCTGGGCTCCTAAACCCCCATCCCCGAGCGGCTCTGAGCACGCCGGAGGGCAGGGAATGGCCTCTCCACCAGGATGGCTCCAGGCTGTGCCGGGCATCAGCCACGACCGCCGCTGGCAGCGGGCGTGGGGACCAGCACCGCTGTGCTGCAGATCCGAGCACGCCAGGATCACCTCTGAGCTGCATCTGAACCTTAAAGGACCGGGATGAGCAGGAGGAACCGCAATGGATGGGGGCAAGGAGGTGCCTAGAGCATGGGGCTGGGCAGCCAGGCGGCATCCTGGCTCCATCCCGACAGCATCCCGGATCCATCCTGGCTCCCTCCCACCAGCATCCTGGCTCCATCCTGCCAGCATCCTGGCTCCATCCCGGCTCCCTCCTACCAGCATCCCAGCTCCATCCCGCCAGCATCCCAGCTCCATCCCAGGGCGAGCGGCGCCACCTGCCGCCCCGCGGCTGCTCGGCACCGGGATGGGACACCCGGCATCTCCTTGGGACTTCCGCCATCTCCTTGGGACTCCCAGCATCTCCCCGGGACACCCGGCACCTCCCCAGATCCCACAGCACACCCAGCATCTCCCAGGGGAGTTTGCCACCCCCCAGTGACACCCAGCATCTCCCCAGGGCACCCTATGGCTCACTCCCCCCCACCCCAGAACCCAGCACCTTCCCAGGGCACCCAGTGTCCCCAAGCCCCGGCTCAGTGCCAGCTCCCAGGTGACGAGGAGCTGTGGTACCTTGTAGCCCTGGATGTCCCCGTTCTGGCTCTCAGGGGGTGGGGGTTCCCAGGGGACATCCAGCTGGGTGGCTGTGGCCGCCTGCACCGCCACGTTCTGTGGTGCGCCCGTGGGCACTGTGCCAGAGGAGGGGACGGTGTCACAGCCCAGCCAGGACCAGGCTGGGGGGGACCCCCCCTCCCAACCCCCCCGCAGGGGGCTGCGCTGCCTGGGCACATCAGAAAAACCCGCGCGGTGGCTGGCGTGTTCCCCTGGACTCACCCGCTTCGCCCACAAAGACCTCCTGGGGGGGACTGGGGGGGCCCTCGCCCACGGCGTTGTACACGCTCATGCGGATCTCATAGCGCCGGTGCTTGCTCAGGTCTGCGGGGGGACAAGGGGTGAGCGGGGCCCTCCCTGCAGCCGGCAGTGTGGGGGTCCCCGATACCCCAGGGGACACAGCAGAGCCCCCCCTGGCTGGGGGGCTCCCCAAGGAGCAATGGGAGCGGAGAGGCAGAGGTGTCCCTGGGCACAGGGCATGCGGTTCCCCCCATGGCATATGCAGGCAGGGAGGGACAGGCAGGGGGGTGGCAGTGGGGAGGGCAGGGACAGGGAGGAGCGGCACAGGGCAGGGAGAGCAGGCAGCCGGTTAGTCCCGCATGTGGCACGGGTGGGAGCCCACCCGCGAGCACCCACCCCAGCGCCACTGCCCACACCAGGGCGGGCCAGGGGTCCCCTGCCAAGGGCCCTGTCACCCCCAGGTGCCAACGGGGCTGTCACGGCACCGAGGAGCCTTTCCATCCTCCAGCCCCATCCCCTGAGTGGCAGAAGCTGGGTCTGGGCGTCAGGGTCTTCACAGGGATCTGACTACTGTCCCCGGAGCGGGTGGGACCCTGTTCCTTTTGGGGTCTGAGGACAGCAGCACACCCAGAGACACAGTGGGACGCCATGCAGACACCCATGTTAGGTGCAGACACACGGACAGGGACACGGGGGCTGAGCACAGCGGGACTGAAGCAGCCACATCGCAGACAAGCGCGTTAGGGACCATGGACCTGGTGGCACGAGGGGACCGGTGACAGCTCCATGGGGCATAACCTGACCCTGACAGCTCCAGGCTGGGACCCCGGAGAGGCCGTGGAGCACAGGATGCGGCCCTACCCCATCCTCACCCCGCCACCACTGGGCCACCCCCCCTGCCACGCGTCCCCTGGCTCGGCAGGGTCACCAGCACTCACGGGTGAGCTCGGCCCACGTGGCACCGGGGTTGCTGATGCCGCGCAGGGTGAAGCCGCGCAGGCTGTCATGCACCAGCTCGCGGTAACGGAGGCGGAAACCCAGCAGGATCCCGTTGATCTTGTCCTCGGCCGGGGGCTGCACAGGGAGGGCAGTGAGGGGCTGCTCTCCGGGGGGCTCCCCGGGGTGGCTGTCCCCAGTACACCTCGGTGCCACCTCCCAAGGGGGCGGGTGGCCGGCCCCACAACACCCCGCCAGGCGGAGGGGACAGTACCTGCCAGCGGATGAGCACTGACGTGGTGGTGTGAGGAGTGACGGAGAGGATGGTGGGGGCTTCCTCGGGGGCTGCAGGGGAGAAGGGGGCAGGGAGGC